CCTGTACTATAGCCATTAATTCTGTCCCAGGTCATTGTCAGTTTTTTACTGAGTCTTATTAACCTCCCCTACTGACTTTGGTATGTGTGCTATCACTATTTGGATCTGTACCTTATTATTAGACACAGACACAACCATAGTCTTATTATATATATATATATATATATATATATATATATATATATATATGTTCTTTTATTTCCTTGCCTCACAGTACTTGTTCCATATTAGACATGTGCAATTCGTTTCGGTCCGAATATGAATTTGGAGCGGCGGGTGGGGGCCCTAATGTAAAATAATGGGGGGACCAATTGTCCTCCCCCCGGGCCCCCACCCCTGAGCGGCGGGTGGGGGCCCTAAATCAGAATAAGGGGGGTACCTAATGTCCCCCCCCGGCCCCAACCCCTGAGCGGTGGGTGGGGGCCCTAAATTATAATAAGGGGGGACCTAATGTCCTCCCCTCTGGCCCCCACCCCTGAGCAGTGGGTGGGGGCCCTACAGTAAAATAATGGGGGGGACTTTAGGTCCTCCCCCCTGGCCCCCACCCCTGAGCGGTGGGTGGAGGCCCTAAATACTAATAAGGGGGGGGACCTAAAGTCCCCCCCCGGCCCCAACCCCTGAGCGGTGGGTGGGGGCCCTAAATTATAATAAGGGGGGACCTAATGTCCTCCCCTCTGGCCCCCACCCCTGAGCAGTGGGTGGGGGCCCTACAGTAAAATAATGGGGGGACCTAAGGTCCTCCCCCCTGGCCCCCACCCCTGAGCGGTGGGTGGAGGCCCTAAATACTAATAAGGGGGGGGACCTAAAGTCCCCCCCCGGCCCCAACCCCTGAGCGGTGGGTGGGGGCCCTAAATTATAATAAGGGGGGACCTAATGTCCTCCCCTCTGGCCCCCACCCCTGAGCAGTGGGTGGGGGCCCTACAGTAAAATAATGGGGGGACCTAAGGTCCTCCCCCCTGGCCCCCACCCCTGAGCGGTGGGTGGAGGCCCTAAATTGGAATGGGGGGACCTAATGTCCTCCCCCCTGGCCCCCACCCCTAAGCGGCGGGTGGTTGCCCTAAATACCAATGGTTGGACCTATTGTCCTCCCCCCCGGCCCCCACCCCTGAGCAGCGGGTGGGGGCCCTAAATACCAATGGTTGGACCTATTGTCCTCCCCCCCAGTCCCCACCCCTGAGCGGCGGATGGGGGCCCTAAAAAAGTTAACCCCCCCTCCCAAACCCCTAGTCACCCCCTCCCCCCCCAAAAAAAATAATTAACCCCCAACCTACCCCTTCACCCTAAAAATAATGAGGGGGGGACCTTTAACTAAGTAGCTGTAAAAAAAATTAAAAAATTACCATTCGATGTTTTCTTTCTTCTAAAATCATCTTTTTTTCAACCCCAAAAATGGCCAAATAAAGAACCATAATAACCAACGCATGCAAAAAAAAAACAAGCACAAAAAAAAAAGCCTTGCCCCGCTCTGCAATTAGGCTCAGAGCACTCTGACTGGTAGGTTTAAGCCATTCAATCAGAGTGCTCTGACAGTTAAATGAAGAGACTGACAGGTATGTCTCTACATTTACCTGTCACAGCACTCTGATTGGTTGGTTTGAAATCCACCAATCAGAGTGCTCTGTGTCATTTTACACAGCGTGGGAAAGTTCTTTGGAATTTTCCCACGCTGTGTAATTTGACTCATAACTCTCTGATTGGTGGATTAAGTAACTACCTGTCAATCCCTTAATTTACTTGTCAGAGCACTCTGATTGGATGGCTTAAACCCACCAATCAGAGTGCTCTGAGCCTAATTGCAGGGTGGGGCAAGGCTTTATAAGCCTTCCCCTGCCCTGCAGAGCTCAGTCTGCGCGGAGCTCTCGCCGGGTGAAGATGGATTATTTTTATTTTATTTATTTTTTATTGCGTCGGTTACTATGGTTTTTTATTTTGCCTTTTTTGGGGCTGAAAAAAGAAGATTTTAGAAGAAAGAAAACATCGAATGGTAAGTTTTTTTTTTTTTTTACAGGTACTTAGTTAAAAGTCCCCCCCTCATTATTTTTAGGGTGAGGAGGGTAGGTAGGGGGCTAATTTTTTTTGGGGGGGAGGGGGGGACTAGGGGTTTGGGGACCCCTAGTCACCTGGGGGGGAACATTTTTTTTTAGGGCCAGCACCCGCCGCTATGGGGTGGGGGCCGGGTGGGGAGGACAATAGGTCCCCCTCTATTGGTATTTAGGGCCCCCACCCGCCGCTCAGGGGTGGGGGCAAGGGGAAGGACATTAGGTTCCCCCCTTATTAGTATTTAGGGCCCCCACCCACTGCTCAGGGGTGGGGGCCAGAGGGGAGGACATTAGGTCCCCCCCTTATTCCAATTTAGGGCCCCCACCCGCCGCTCAGGGGTGGGGGCCAGGGGGAGGACATTAGGTCCCCCTTATTAGTATTTAGGGCCCCCACCCACCACTCAGGGGTGGGGGCCGGGGGGGCAATTGGTCCCCCCTTTAGTTTAAAAGCCCCCACTCGCACGTCGTGTGTGACCCTATTTTTTTTTAAAACAGGGAGCAGCCACAGGCAGCTCACTGTTTACTAGACATGCCCCTACTCGCAGTATAGCAAGTAGGGGCAAATTTTACTAATACTAAGTAATTTTTACTTAGTATTAGTACATTTAGCTGAAAGACCAATTTAGGTCTTTCAGCCTTTTGGTAGATAACTCCCTAATACCATGGGAATTAGGGAGTTATCTACTAAGTGGCTGCAATAGAAGTCCTGAAATTCCGAAATGCCGAAGTTCATAAATTCTGAAGTTCTGAAGTGTCGAAGTGCCGAAGTTGCCAAATTTCCGAAGTGTCGAAGTGCCGAAGTTATGAAGTGCTGAAGTTCCAAAGTGCCGAAGTCCCGAATTACGAAAATCCTGAATTTCGGAATGCCGAACCAAACCAAAAATTTTCCCCATGCACATGCCTATTTCATATATAGTGCCTTTTTAACGATTACAAATAAAGTATTTATTTTTTTGGTAATTTTTTGCAACCTTTATGTGATTCATTACATTGGCAATTCCCACGACCAGTACTCAGTGCTGATTTCCTGAGTCACAATATGTATCATTATTTTCTCTTTTACTTTGTTTAAAACCAGTTTTGAGTCCCATTCTTTTTGAGACTCTATTTATTATTTTACCTTTCTTCCATTGGTTGTCAGATTTTTTTGAAGGCAGTTAATTGTTGTTCAGAATCTACCTTCCAAGATTTCTACTTCAAACCTTTCAGTCATTTATTTCACAGCTTTAAACAAGTCTTTAATAAAATTCACAGATTTTACTAGTATCATGACATAAAGTCATGTTGTTTTTTTAATTCAGAGTAACACCGTGATCATTATTTTATTAATAGGCGAGTATTATTCCCTCCTGGATGGATATTTTTCTAAATCTCATGGTAGGTGTTCAATTCACAGATCTTTGATTGGCATTTGGTGATTACGTTGTCTATAGTTTTGTTATTTTCAAACTAAGGGAAGGGGTACAAAAGAGAAAAAGGAAAAATGGGGAAGACAATTGTATCTCCATCCCAGTGGCTTAACCAAAGTTATAGTCCCCAGGGCAGAAAATAAAAATAAAAAATGCCCCCCTGCATTCACCCTGTCCCTCTGTTTCTAAGGCTAATTTAACAAATGTAAAGACTTTAGTATTTGTAAGTAAAGAGAATGACATTTTTTTTAATAACACTTGCAATAGAAAAAAAAATACTGGTGACAAATTTAAGCATGTTTTGTATGTTTTAATGTATGTATGTATTTGTGTGTAGTGTTGGAATTTGAATGCAGTTGTATATTTGTATGTACTGTTACTATTTGAAAGCAGTGGTGTACTTATGTTTAGTGTTTATTTTTAGCATTTGATTGAATGTTCATTTGGCATTTGATACATACACTACCCCGCACACACACACTGAAACACACACAGATACACAAATTGACACATACACTCACACACATAGATACACACTAACATATACACAGATACATACACACTGCCAACTCCCCTCCAAACCCCAAAGTTATGCCATTGCTCCATCCAAAGTCATATACATACTTAGCGGGATAGACAATATTTTCGACACAAATTAAATATGGCATTAAACTGTAGAGCATATAATTATAATTATAATAACATTCCGTGCATTGTTAAACATTATCTAATTTTTCAAGTAATGTCCCTAAAAAGATCGAAAAAAATAGTTTCTTAATGGAGACATATAGTTTTGTTCTATTTCCAAATTTGAAATTTACGTGATGCTGTGAAGAGATATGATATGTAACACTTATCTGCTTATGATACATTAGATGATGTGTGCTTGTGTATTTATTTATATATATTCCATATTGCTTCTTTTCTTCTAGCTTGATGAACCACGGATGTCTACTTCGTCCAGGAGAATAGAAACATAGAAATATAGAATGTGACGGCAGATAAGAACCATTCGGCCCATCTAGTCTGTCCAATTTTCTAAATACGTTCATTAGTCCCTAGCCTTATCTTATAGTTAGGATAGCCTTATGCCTATCCCACGCATGCTTAAACTCCTTTACTGTGTTAACCTCTACCACTTCAGCTGGAAGGCTATTCCATGCATCCACTACCCTCTCAGTAAAGTAATACTTCCTGATATTATTTTTAAACCTTTGTCCCTCTAATTTAAGACTATGTCCTCTTGTTGTGGTAGTTTTTCTTCTTTTAAATATAGTCTCCTCCTTTACTGTGTTGATTCCCTTTATATATTTAAATGTTTCTATCATATCCCCCCTGTCTCGTCTTTCCTCCAAGCTATACATGTTAAGATCCTTTAACCTTTCCTGGTAAGTTTTATCCCGCAATCCATGAACCAGTTTAGTAGCCCTTCTCTGAACCCTCTCTAAGGTATTAATATCCTTCTGAAGATACGGTCTCCAGTACTGTGTACAATACTCCAAGTGAGGTCTCACCAGTGTTCTGTACAATGGCATGAGCACTTCCCTCTTTCTACTGCTAATACCTCTCCCTATACAACCATGCATTCTGCTAGCATTTCCTGCTGCTCTATTACATTGTCTGCCTACCTTTAAGTCATCAGAAATAATCACCCCTAAATCCCTTTCCTCAATTGTTGAGGTTAGGACTCTATCAAATATTCTGTACTCTGCCCTTGGGCTTTTACGTCCAAGATGCATTATCTCGCACTTATCCACATTAAATGTCAGTTGCCACAATTCTGACCATTTTTCTAGTTTACCTAAATCATTTGCCATTTGGCTTATCCCTCCTGGAACATCAACCCTGTTATATATCTTAGTATCATCAGCAAAAAGACATACCTTACTTGCTTAGAATCTACTTGCTTTCTACCATTTCCTGTGTTTTCATTGGAAATTTACTTGATTTTTGTTGTCAGGTTTTAGGTTTCTGATGTACAATGTTGAACTTGGCTTTGGGATCGTAAGAAAGATAAAGTTGAGGGATAGTTCATGTCTCTTATAGGGTTGGATCTACTTTGATTGGATGTTTACTTTTTCTATTGTTTCAATTGTTTTCCTATGGCAGGCATAGGCAACCTTTGGCACTCCAAATGTTTTGGACTACACCTCCCATGATGCTTTGCCAGCATCATGGGTGTAAGAGCATTATGGGGGATGTAGTCCACAACATCTGAAGTGCCGAAGGTTGCCTATCCCTGTTCTATGGTTTTCTCTTTACTGCTGAAGTGCAGCATAATACTTGCCTCCATGTCATTAATTAAATCTGGGAATTTTACTTCCAGTTTGCTAATTGTTTGACAACTTACCTGGAGTCTGAAGTTCCTGCACAGACCTTCCTATAAATCTACTGATATACCCCTGCTATGCAGGGCCAGCTTATTGGCTGAGAGAATCAGCTGACCACTAACCCTGGATACCATAGTGCAGAGAGAGGTGACTGACTAGTGGACTCCAGATAAGTTGTCAAATTATTTGCCAACTGTATGACTGCTTACACTGGAGAGGGGTCGTCATGGAACTCTTGGCACCATAGCCAATACAGCAAGCTGCAGTAACTATTGTGTTTGGAGTGTCCTTTTAGGAACACAATCCATGTGTGCACAGGTTGGTTTTTTTTTTTTGTGTAATTAGCTTAATGCTGTGTGTGCATAAATATTTAAAATATATAAGTAATAAACCTCTCTGGTGGTTTCAGCCTCAAAACATTATCAGTGTATATCAGATATATATACCTCTTTGTCACTTTTTTTTTACTGTTGCTTCTATGAAACAAACTAAAGTAAAAAAAAACAAAAACAGTATTACTTAATAGCAGTTTATAGACAAATAAAGTATTTAATGAAATTGTACTTTAACCCCTTAAGGACACATGACATGTGTGACATGTCATGATTCCCTTTTATTCCAGAAGTTTGGTCCTTAAGGGGTTAAATATAATTGTCCAAATGAACTATCTAATTTGTGCTGTCTATAAAGCGTACTTAACATATTTACTATTTCAATATGTCCTTATTTGACTCTAAGTGAAGGTGGTGTCTACCCTATACCCTTACTTTTTTTTGCAAATTGTTTATGTTGAGGATATCAGGACTTTGAAACAAGTTGGCTGTTTACATGACAAAGTTCTGCGTCACCTAAAAATTGTTAGGTATGTGTTGTAACATGTTGCCGGGGAAAATGAAACAGATCTGTCTTGACTAGTGAAATTATTAACTCTCCTTCATTAACTCCCCCCTCCTTCCTGTGACCTTGACACCACATTTATTGCATTTTTACCTATAAACACACACAAACAGGGTTATTCACTAAATTGTGAATGATCAGAAATTCATGGGGAATTCACAGTGCTTTTTACATGAATATTACAAAATAGCCCTTATGAAAACTCTGCTGACATGGAGTTTGTTCCATTTTGGCTATATTGGCCTTTATTTAATATTCACTATTCAGATAAAATACAAAGGCATAATATGAACAAAACCCAAGCCAAAAATATATATATTCATTTATCTATTAATCGTTCAATTAATCTATACTATAAAACAAATACACGCAGAAATAAATGTAAATAATTTTAGAAATGTGGCCACTTTAACCTAAAACTTGAAATTCACTTTGATGTTTTTTAACTCAACTTACATATAATACATGTGTGTGATGTATGGATTTATCAATCTTTTTTTAAATACAACACCTATCAATAATATGCATTTTTTATTATTTTTAATATATTTATATACATATATATATTAATAAATTCCTTGCAAAAACAATACAATGTATTTTATAAATCAGTCAATACTGAACGTCTTCCCTACGTTGACAGTTGATGTAAACAGTAGAACACCTAGCAATATGAATGTTTGCATATGAGGGCTATGGGAAGGTTCTCAGGAGCCTTGTTAATACTTTTGCATTAAGCTCAATATAGAGTATAAATTAGGTCATCCTTAGACACACAGAACACGATGGGGCATGACATAAGTAATAAAACTTAGGGAGGGAAACAGCAAAGAAAGCTATAGCTATATTCAGAGCTCAGTCAAGCCCAAGCATTATTTTATTATTATTATTATTTTATTTTTTTTAAAGTGGACTTCATTTTGGATTTTAAAAACATTTTAAAGTTTATGGTTTTCACCTGTAACTTTTGTTTCTTTTTACTTTTTTAAAGAAAGCAAATGCTAAATATCCAGTAAAATCAGTCTGATGGTATACATTTGAGGTCTATGTTACAAAAACAGCGGCTTTTAAGTGTCTAGATTTTTGTTTTATAATCTATTGCAGCCAATTAGATGATGGCCTAAGTCTTAACATTTAGCTCCATTTAGGCAAATTAAGATTTGAAGATTCAATTTTACATGAAAGCAATATGGGAGTCCTAGTTAGCATCCCTTTAGTGCAGGGGTCCTCAAACTCCGGCGCCCCAGATGTTGCTGAACTACAACTCCCATGATTCTCTGGCTATCTATTTAATGCAAAGAATCATGGGAGTGGTAGTTCAGCAACATCTGGGGGGCCGGAGTTTGAGGACCCCTGCTTTGGTGACTTACATACACAAAAAAAGACTCTTTTTCGGGGTAGGCAGTCATTTTGGCTCCAAACTAGATGTTGATTTATTTTTATTTTGGGTGCTGTTTTGTTTTTTTTCTAAGTATGTCTAAAAAACTTGTCTGGGGTTTCAGGACGAAATAACTGGTTCTTAGGACAGTGTTGATTCTAAGTACAAAATTATATATTCCTCCAACAAGCTGGGTTTTAATTTGTGAAGTGGCGGTATCTTTGAGTATATATTTTAAAAAGCAAAATACATAAAGTAATTGACCTGTTCTAGTTATTTTGATTGATGTTATTTGATTGGCTAAGCAATGCATTATAAGAAAGATAAAGGGGATATGACATTAAAATATAGAAAATACAGATTACCTAATAGTGCACCCACAAAAAGGCGAACTAAAATTGCCTACCTTAGCAAACAAAGTCACCCCCCGTATCAGTTCTGTAGAAGGAGGTTGCAGAGCCCGGACAGGTGAGGTTTGAGATAGGTAAAAAAGAGTTTGGAGGTTGGTGGAGGAATTGCTGTAGGTCAACACGGTGGAGATATATATATAAATGATAATAATAAAAATAATATATAAAACTTAATGTGCAAATATTATAATTATATTCAGGTGGTAACCTCCGTAATACACACGGCAATACTAATATGAATGAATCTTCTTAAATACATGGTAAACAGATAAGAAAAAACACAATAGTACAGACAATCTGATAATGATAGGTGTAGAAACACACTGTGTGTGATTCCTCAAAAATGCCAACTCACATAAACTACAGCCCACGTTTTAGATCTGTATTATCATATTTGGATTCTTGTATAGGGAACTCCTTCAATCCCCGATCCGCCTCTCAGCACGCGCATTCAAACTGCCCATAGGAAAGCATTACTCAATGCTTTCCTATGGACTATCAGCATCTTCTCATTGTGATTTTCACAGTGAGAATCGCAGAAGCCCCTCTAGCAGCTGTCAATGAGACAGCCACTAGAGGCTGGCTTTACCCTCAGTGAAACATAGCAGTTTCACAGAAACTGCTATGTTTTCAGCTGCAGGGTTAAAGCTAGAGGGACCTGGCACCTAGCATTGAGCTGATGTGATCTGGGTGTCTGTAGTGGTCCTTTAAGTGTACGTTTATCTGCATGCGCTGGCGTACATACCGCAGTCGCAGGGGTCGCAGCCCTGCGACCAGTGCCCACCGCCAGGTGTTGCGGCCCCGTCCCGCGCAGAGTAAGCGCCTCTCACACTCTGTAGTGGGACAGCAGCCAGTATATGAAGTCACCCCAGCATCAGCATCACTACAAGATGAGGATGGGAGTTGTGTAGATAGAGCACAGTGAAACCAGCAGCCCCACCGAACCCAGAGAAAGGATCCATTTCAGCTCTCCCAGGCACAGGTTGGGAGGCTGTGCATGTCTGTGATTAAATGTTTGTATGAGAACGTGTTTCGTAAATAGATTTCGTAAATAGCTCCCTAGTTTGGTATCTTTAAATATGGTAATTCAGATAGCAAATCAAGCAGCTGACTAAGCAAATTGCTGAATAAAATTGCTTATTTAGGATTGCCATATTTACGGATACCAAATTAGGGAGCTGTTTAGTAAATAGCTCCCTTTTATTGCTGTCAGTTTGGCCGTAAGGGGGTGTTCCCAAATTGAAATTGCCAGTTTTATAAATTGGGGGACATGCAGTTAACCCCTAAAGCACTATAGCAAGCTGAAGTGCTCTAGGGCTCCTTCAAGTTGCAGGAAGAATTTTCAATGCTAAATCTTTCTTTCCACTTCTATATCTGCACCAGTGGCGTACACCATGCATGCACATTCGGAGCTGAGAGGCGGAGGGATCCCCAGCGCCAAGGGAGTCCGGCGCTGGAGAAAGGTAAGTGCTGAAGAAACACACACTCTCACAAACAGACGCATACACACTAGCTAATAGACACACTGAGAGAGACACACTCAGCGACAGACATACATACACACTCACTTACAAAACATACACTCTCACTGACAAACACACTCACTAACAGACATCAAACAGACTCACTAACAGACACACACAAACACACTCAGTAACAGACACAGTAACACACTCACTGACAGTCACTAGCAGACGCACACTCAATAACAGACACACACTAACACACACTAACACACACATGTTTTTTTTTTTAAATTTAATCCTCCAGCCTCCTTACCTTTTGGAGTGCTGAGGGGATTCCCTGGGGTCCAGTGGTGCTGCTGGGCTC